ATAGCATTACTATTTCATTTAGTATGCAAGTGTAGCTATTGTCCATTGGTGGAGCAAAGTGTCAGCCTTTTCAGTCCTTAGGGATAGTAAAACTTTAGCATTGACAAATTAACGTGGCTCTCACTAAGTGAAGTGAGCAAGAACTTGGCTTTTGGCTTAGCCTATGCATTTACATTTCAAGGGACTTGTTGTTTTCCCTGTGCACAAAATTTTTTTGAGAAGAGAGATCAAAATATACGAATGGTATCACCGAGCAGAGTCATTTTCTTAGNTGCCCTGTGCACAAAAATTTTATGAGAAGAGAGATCAAAATATACGAATGGTATCACCGAGCAGAGTCATTTTCTTAGGTTTTCATTTTACTCATGATAGTAGTAGAAAGAGAACCGTTTACTTTGAAAATGATGACTTGGATATGGGATCTAGTTGATCCAAAGATGATGACTAGTGGCTTATTTCTATGGCCAAAGACAAAGTTAAAAAAGAAAAGGCTACTTTGACCGCACAATACTTCGTGATAGTATCTAAGAGTCCAGCTAGTGGCTGGCTATAGCTATCATGTCGAGACATGCATCACATGGAGTCTCTATTACATGAACGGGCACATTTTAAGAAACAATTATGAGGAACACTAATGTGTACCATCAGAACAAATATAATCCAAACATGGTTGAAACATGTGAGAAGGGCACTTATCTTTGCATTTACCAAACTCTGTGCACGGAGATATAACATAGCGACATATCTTGAGCTCCATCAACATACAAAATAATAGCAGTGGACCCCTAGCTTCGGTTTGGATGTTCTGCTGATTAGAGTTCCAAGTGATCATTGAATAAGCAGTACAAAATGACGAAGGACTCTAGTGATCGCTAAGAGTTGCTCACGAATACAAATGTGAAGAGGCCGAGCAGACAATGAGGAAGTTGTTTTGCCTTAGTTTGTCTTTTTTGAAACATTCGGCCTGCTATAATAAGGCAGAATCTTTTTTGCAAACATCCAGACATCAGTCATTTTGTTAGTTGAACCAAACGAATTGCAAGGTAGTACACCGCTACATAAATATATGAAGCTTGAATGTTTGGAGCCAAGAATAACATGCACATATTATGGATTGTGCATATAGTGTATATGCTTAATTTCTTATCCAAGACAACAATAACATATGCTTGGATGTGGCAGTATGCTTTCTTACCCAAATTATTATTTGGGTGGTGATTGGTTCTCACTTTCAGATTCTATCGTACGAGAAAGTAATTTAATAAAATACAATTTAATGTCGTATGGAATCCCTCAAAGTGAAATATAGGAAAATTTTAAATAACTTCGAGTAGAAACTCTTCAAGTAAAAATGTCTTTGTTTTGCCGAGCTTGTGACAACAAGTATTTATGTAATGACTATTTGAGGATTTTGATGCTTTCCTTTTTTATTTTTTATTTTAATTAACAAAAGTACTTTCTAAGAATAAATAATAAGTTGTTGAGATTGAACACTTATCTGTGTATGAGGTGATGTAGATGATGATAACTTCAATCACCAAAATAATTGANTATTATTTTAATTAACAAAAGTACTTTCAAAGAATAAATAATAAGTTGTTGAGATTGAACAATTATCTGTGTATGAGGTGATGTAGATGATGATAACTTCAATCACCAAAATAATTGAAAATTTAGTTTGATCTAGCATCCAATCAAAGCCTCTGTGATCTTGAACGAGGTATAGGACCCAATGATTTTGAGAGATTCCTCTTGTGAAGTCATTCCCTCACAACAACATATTGTTTTAGAATTGATGGAGAGTTGCATGGCTCCTTGCCGAAGGCTGACCAGTCAGAGGGTCTTGTGGGTATAAGAACTCTTGGTTGATTATCAAGATTTTTGGCTCATTCTCTGTTATGAACCATTAGTCAATCAATGGACATTTGATTTAGAACGATGAAAATCGTTTCCATAGATGTGATGTGGCCTTCTAGAAGTGGTGACTTATTGCCCAATGTATGGTTTGATGGTGAAAGTCCTTTTCTGCACGTTCTGGTAGTTTACGTTTTGTTTGTTGTCTACTTGAATCCCATTGCCTTTTGTATATTTTTTCAGTATCATCAGTTGCCCCCAGCCCTGAGCAAGGACTGATTTGAGTTGAGCATTGGTTGAGGCTGAGCTTTTCAGATCGTACCTGAGGATGCTTGTGAGTTTTGAGGGGCAAATGTTGAAATAGGCAAAAATTCATCTCACAGATGCATGCATAGGGAAACAAAGCCCGACTTCGAACATAAACTAAAAAAAATAGACTTTTCTCCCTAGAAAAAGGTTGCAAGGTTCATCAGAAGTGGGGGCATGAATGGAGACACTAGTAGGAAACTGGTGATGCCTCTTGATGGCCTCTACCTTGACCTTGGAGACAATGCTAGGAGCCAAGATGCAGCCTAACTAGGGTCTTCCAGCCACAGTGAAGCNAAATATATGAAGCTTGAATGTTTGGAGCCAAGAATAACATGCACATATTATGGATTGTGCATATAGTGTATATGCTTAATTTCTTATCCAAGACAACAATAACATATGCTTGGATGTGGCAGTATGCTTTCTTACCCAAATTATTATTTGGGTGGTGATTGGTTCTCACTTTCAGATTCTATCGTACGAGAAAGTAATTTAATAAAATACAATTTAATGTCGTATGGAATCCCTCAAAGTGAAATATAGGAAAATTTTAAATAACTTCGAGTAGAAACTCTTCAAGTAAAAATGTCTTTGTTTTGCCGAGCTTGTGACAACAAGTATTTATGTAATGACTATTTGAGGATTTTGATGCTTTCCTTTTTTATTTTTTATTTTAATTAACAAAAGTACTTTCAAAGAATAAATAATAAGTTGTTGAGATTGAACAATTATCTGTGTATGAGGTGATGTAGATGATGATAACTTCAATCACCAAAATAATTGAAAATTTAGTTTGATCTAGCATCCAATCAAAGCCTCTGTGATCTTGAACGAGGTATAGGACCCAATGATTTTGAGAGATTCCTCTTGTGAAGTCATTCCCTCACAACAACATATTGTTTTAGAATTGATGGAGAGTTGCATGGCTCCTTGCCGAAGGCTGACCAGTCGGAGGGTCTTGTGGGTATAAGAACTCTTGGTTGATTATCAAGATTTTTGGCTCATTCTCTGTTATGAACCATTAGTCAATCAATGGACATTTGATTTAGAACGATGAAAATCGTTTCCATAGATGTGATGTGGCCTTCTAGAAGTGGTGACTTATTGCCCAATGTATGGTTTGATGGTGAAAGTCCTTTTCTGCACGTTCTGGTAGTTTACGTTTTGTTTGTTGTCTACTTGAATCCCATTGCCTTTTGTATATTTTTTCAGTATCATCAGTTGCCCCCAGCCCTGAGCAAGGACTGATTTGAGTTGAGCATTGGTTGAGGCTGAGCTTTTCAGATCGTACCTGAGGATGCTTGTGAGTTTTGAGGGGCAAATGTTGAAATAGGCAAAAATTCATCTCACAGATGCATGCATAGGGAAACAAAGCCCGACTTCGAACATAAACTAAAAAAAATAGACTTTTCTCCCTAGAAAAAGGTTGCAAGGTTCATCAGAAGTGGGGGCATGAATGGAGACACTAGTAGGAAACTGGTGATGCCTCTTGATGGCCTCTACCTTGACCTTGGAGACAATGCTAGGAGCCAAGATGCAGCCTAACTAGGGTCTTCCAGCCACAGTGAAGCGCAATGTTTGAATGTGGATGAATGAGACATATCCATAGAGGGAAGGAAAGAAACTTGCAAAGAAAGAGGAAAGCTTGCTTGCAAAATGGCTTAGAAAGTTGCAAAGTATAAACAACATGAATGAATAACATATGCCTTTATAGGCAAGGAGGAGAACGGTTCAACTACTCCCAAACCATTCAGATTAATGAGAGAATTTAATGCAAGGCAATCATGGTGAGTTAGGTGAATGCATCCAGTCGCCTTTCATCAAAGATGTGATGATTTGATACATTAACAAGTACAACTACCACAATTGCGTCTCTTCACTAACCATCATACAACCATCCACAACGTCGACATGTGAAAAGAAACGACCCTTCAACAAAACTTCGCACCTCAAAGGAGTGCCTCAAATAAACAGGACAACTTATAGAGCACCTTAGATCATAACGAAGAAGGGTTTATTGGTTCGTACCTAGCTTGGATCTAAATTAGTAAGTCTAGGGGGCCACCCACATCTAGAACTTAGTAATTAGAATTATGAGACAAGCTACTTAGCCCATGATCAAAGCAAGCTCTTAAGCTTGCCCCCAAAGATCGAGCACTTTAGCTCATATGATAGACGAGTTGGTCAACTAACGGAGTGCCTTAGCCTGCAGCGAAGGCAAATTCTTCAGCTCGTACCTAAACAAGTTCTAAGTCTCCAAGTCCAAGGGACCATCCACATCTAGAACATGGCGACTAGAACCACAAGGATTATTATTGATGCAAGGTATTCACCTTCCAGTAAATGAAGGGGCAGATAGATATAGGAAATTTCTAATACAAACAAATAAGGAAAGCGTTTTTCATTACAAAGCATTTTTTTTTTATAGAAATTGCTACAAATATAAATCCCAAAAGAAGGGAAAGAGCAACGATTCCTATTCATAAGAAAATTTTGGGAGGTCATTTTCTTAGAAACACCTATGTTTGCCCTCTTGATTCCTGTTCAATTCCCTCAGGCACAACAGGATCTTTTAAAGCATCAAAAAATGGCATAGTAGGTAGTTTAGTTCCTAAGGGCACCTTCTATGGGTACTTTCTTTGCCTCATACTGGTGCTTTCTTTGCCTCAGCAGTTGGCCTCAAAGGCAAAGGGGGAATCAGCAACCTGCCCCCTAAGATCGTCGTAGCCGTTGACATTATTGTTGGTACATTCAATCCGCAGGTCTTCGATGGTTTTCTCGTTGTCCTTTAGAATAGACTTCAATGCATCAACCTCTTATTGGAATTCATGCACTATCTAATCAACTTTTCTTTTCTCCTTCTCAGCCTTAGTGGAATCAACCGCGCTTAAAATCTTGCCTAACTCCATCTCCCTTTGCTTTAGCTTATCCTCCAAAGACCTTTTCAACAACTTCAACAAGTCAATTTAAGAGGCCTGATCATCCAACTTCTTCTTCTCGTTGGCTAGCTTAATCTTGTGCTCTTTAGCAGCCTTCTCTGACTTCAGGGCTCGACCTTGAAGAGCTCAGATATGAACGCTAGCCTGCAAAGGTGACATATTACCTAAGGAGGTGAGTTGTATAATACCTAGTGAAAGTAGATCATATAAGACTTAAAAGGGAGAGATGAACAGGGAAGAGTTATACCATGAGAATGCTGTGGAGGGCGTTGGCTGCCTCATCATTGGCACTAAGGCTAGTTGATTTCGCGATGTTGGATTTGGGCAAGATACTTAACATCTTGGTTACAACTAATACAGAATTCCTAAGAAGAAAGCTGTAAACCCTCACATGTTTATATTAATATAGTAATATACTTGTTTAGTGATTCTTATATATGTAATGACGTAAGAATAAACCATATATATTGAAACCGTAAGAATAAATTCTAGGGAGGCAAATTAATTGTGAAATTTAATTTTTTTTTAGGTGTATAAGGTTGATAAGGGTAACAAAGTAAAAATATTAATTTTTTTTGGTCAAAATAATATTATCCTTGAACCTGGGAGGTCCAAAAAAACTTGCGATAACCATTTAGCACATATAACAGTTCGGAGAAATAAAATAGTAATTTTAGTGTTTCGAGTGTAAATTTATTTTAGTTTTGAAATAAATCATAAAAATAACATTAAAAATGAATCCAGAACGTCGAAAAACTTTAGGGTAGTCATATGGATCACATTAGAGATTCTTAGTGGCAAAATCATAATTTTGGAGAACACCAAATCAGCCTGTAAACAGTAAAANATTCATATGGATCACATTGGAGATTCTTAGTGGCAAAATCATAATTTTGGAGAACACCAAATCAGCCTGTAAACAGTAAAATCAGGATTTGGCTGACCTTATAACACCATTTCATCCCATTTTCCCTCATTTCTTTCACTCTATTCTCACCCCACACCTCTTGGAACCTTAGAGGAAGATTAAGGGAGGAAGAAAAGGGAAGAAGGAGGTCACTAGAGCTTNACATATTGAAACCGTAAGAATAAATTCTAAGGAGGCAAATTAATTGTGAAATTTAATTTTTTTTAGGTGTTTAAGGTTGATAAGGGTAACAAAGTAAAAATATTAATTTTTTTTGGTCAAAATAATATTATCCTTGAACCTGGGAGGTCCAAAAAAACTTGCGATAACCATTTAGCACATATAACAGTTCGGAGAAATAAAATAGTAATTTTAGTGTTTCGAGTGTAAATTTATTTTAGTTTTGAAATAAATCATAAAAATAACATTAAAAATGAATCCAGAACGTCGAAAAACTTTAGGGTAGTCATATGGATCACATTAGAGATTCTTAGTGGCAAAATCATAATTTTGGAGAACACCAAATCAGCCTGTAAACAGTAAAATCAGGATTTGGCTGACCTTATAACACCATTTCATCCCATTTTCCCTCATTTCTTTCACTCCATTCTCACCCCACACCTCTTGGAACCTTAGAGGAAGATTAAGGGAGGAAGAAAAGGGAAGAAGGAGGTCACTAGAGCTTGGGTTCTTATTTGAAAATTTGATTCAAGGTAGGTGTTTTCTTTCATCCTTGTTCATTAAGGTTAGGGTATTTATATATGTATGTTTTGCCTCTAAATGTTATATATATGATATGAAATCATCCTCTCTTAGTCTTTTTTTTTTTTGCAAAGATTACATGTTTTGAATAAAGTTAGGGTTGAATACCGATGAAATCTCTTTTCTTGCTTTAAAACCCTAGTTCTTGGAGAGTGATGAATTTTCTTCTTAAATTCTTCCTTTATTATTGATTTTGAAACTATAGTGCTTTGTGTTGAGTAATAAAATGATGTTGTTGTGATCTCTTGTATTTTTCTTACTTGGTTATTGGAATTGTCACATGATAAATTAGGGGATTTTTGAGATATGCTTGTAAATTGAGAAATTGAGTTTGGTATTGTATCTCTTATGAGTGTGGGATGACCATGGGTGGCCTTTGATGAGATATCATAGAGTGGGTAGACGTTCTTCATACTCCGTGTGGGTTTGAACTTTTTTTACCACTTGTAGTGGGGTTAGTGCTTTGGTAAGACTAAATCGCTATTGCTCACGGGTATCAAGGCGGAGGGTTAGTATACTAATGCCTAGGTTGGATATGTCACTTCCATAAGTACGCCCTTCCTAAATGTTGGATATCTTTGAGAAGATTTGGGTGTATGTGTGTGGGCTAGATGTTACTCAATGCGTTGATTTATGTGGATGCCTTACATCATGGTTGAGATACATGTATATATTGTTGTAAAATGTTCAAGTTATGAGTTCTTGTTTATTCTACCAGAAATGGTTTCTACAAGAATCTTGGGAAGTATGGGATTCCCCAAGAACTTGTGAGGAACGGTTTATGCTGAAATGGATTATTAATTGTATATTGAGTTCTTTTATTCATTAAATTATTGTTGTTACTTAAACTTGAGATCAGTTTCAAATGTCCCTATTTTCTTCAAAAGTTATATATGCTATTTGTAAAATGAGACTGACCATTTTATATGCTTTTCTAAATCTTATTCGGGTTTGGAAGAATTTTCCTACAGAGCTTCGTGCTCACTTCCTCTCAAAGAAAAGCTGGGAGTCGAGGAGCCCGAACACTGGGAGACTCCGATAGACGGGAGCGTGAATCCCGAGGTGGACGCTTAGAGCGACACTTTCTTTTGTTCTAGACTAGGATATTTATTTTAAACATTTTGAAGTCTAATTTTTCTTTTGTTATTCCGCTGCGTTATGATAGTTAAATTTTTGGGATGTAAATGCCATGGTTGGGCGTATTCTTTTGGATAATGTTGTAAATTTTATGGATGAAAAATGAAGTCTTATTTATTTATGGATCATATTAGTGCTCTCATGATGTAAATAATTTTAGACAGTAATGTGGTAAATATTTATTAATAAATGAACCCGGTGTGGTCAATGTAGTATAATTACACAGGTTGTGTTTTGGGTAGAGCTCCTCGTACAAAGGAGATTCTGCCCAAATTTTTTTAAATTAAGGACCCTCGATTTTTGGGACGTTACAAAAGCCCTCTTCTTTTGCTTCTAGATGAGTCGAGCCGAGCCCTTGGGATGTAGACACAACAACCTTAGAATCTACTGGGGGTAAATATAGAAGAGCTCCAAGCTCTTTGGGAATTCTGAAAGAAGGAGCTATAACTTAGAGATCTTCAATAGAAGCAGGAGTGGACTCCAAATTTTGAGCTCCCAAATAAAGCTCACGAACCTCCTTCCTTGAAGAATTTTTTTCTTCAATTCTAGGGACCTTTTTTAACCTAGAGTTGAGGGGAGAGTTAGGATCATGAGGCTTGGTTAGGCGCCCTTTCTTTTGGAGTCGTCTTTTCTTTACCTCCATAACTTCTTGCAAGTTAGGAGCCATGGGATCGAGATCTATGCAGGACAAAATTAGCTTCAGAGAAATGAGAAAACCCAAAAACCAATGGGTTCAAGCAAGACTAGCTTAGAAATTGAGCTCACATGGGTTCAAGTAAGACTAGCTCGAGAATTGAGCTCATACCTACGAGATTACCTCGAACCTCAGTAATGGAGTTATTGCCTTTGGTAGTAGGGGGAGGTGAAAGCCTCTCAAATTCTGTAGGACCAAACCCATATTTTGCTAGTTTCTTTGAGGAAATGAACTCTTTGAAGTGCCTCATCTTACACTTGTCTATTTTAGCAACCTTGAGCTCTTTAGAAGGGGCCAACTTAGGAAGGAATTCAGGCAAACAAATGAAGTATCTACAAGAAAGGGAACTTTCACATAAGAGGACTAACACTCAGTCAAGTTCTTGGGTTCCCCCTAAATCTTGGGGACACGAAAGACATCAGAGGCATCGCTCGGGTTTATCTCCCAAGCATCTCTTGAAACACAAAAGAAGTGATCTTTCTAGGTCTTTTGAAAAGATGGAGCCCCTGTGATTAGTGCATGGGCATGGACGTGTTTGGAGATATAGAAAAATCCATCCAACAAAGAACATTTGACAGTAAAGAAATGAAGAAGCTCGGCCATCGAAGGAGCTCTCCCCAAGTCATTCTCTCTCCAAAAAATGAAATGACCAACCAATGTCCCCCAAAATTTGGGAGACAGCCTTGCGGGATAGATATTGTAAAATTGAAGAACACTCTTTAGAAAAGGATACATGGGAAACCTCAAACCCGACCCAAACATAGAAGCAAAAATTAGGTTTTCTTGGATAAGTATATATTATAATGATCTACCTTGGAAGGGGGATAAGCTTTGATGTCAGGAGGAAATTGATAATGATTAACTAGAATTTGAACCTGGTGCTTAGAGACATAAATCATGGTAAGGTTTGGAGAAGGTCCTTGCAATTCTTTAGGTCTCCTTGAAGTACCAACCTCGTCAGAAAGAGCTAGGTGGGTTTTAGGGACCCTCCTCTCAGAAGTACGTTTACTCTTCCCTAGACCAGCAGGGATATCTTTAGGTGTATCCTTAAGAAGAAAAGGTGATCCTTCTCGATGAGGTGAGTTGCCTTATGAGGTGGCTGAGGCAGGGTTTTCTAGTTCTCCTCCAAAACTATCACATCCCTTTGATGGGATGACCCCACCTTGGGTTCTTCATCACTACGAGGGGGAGACTCAACCTCAGGATCATTGTTCGCATCTCCAAGCATGCGGGAGATGGAAGATCTAATGGCTTCAAAGAAACCTCAGATATAGGCAAAAGTAGAAACAAAAAATACCCTAATTCTGGGGGAATTTGAGGTAAGTGAAAAGTGAAATTTTCAATTGAAAGATGATCTAGGCACCAATGACCCAGCAAGAAAACCCTAGCCATACTTTAAGGATCTAGAGAAAAAACAAAGGAATTGATAAAGTGAAAGGTTTGATTTGGGGAAAAGTTTAAATAGAGGAAGTTTTGTCCATTTTCTCTATCTGAATGCATTTAATGTGCCTACACATCACTCTACGTGGCATTTTGTTATTGGCACACTTCAAAAAATGAGGCGTTATCTACTCCCCATGATTATGCAACACCTTAATCCTTACACGACTGCCCTGTCATGTCCTGTAAGCAAATTCAAATGTCCAAAGCTACTCTCAAATTGAGGTAATACCTCAACCTTACTTGGAGCATAGTCCCAAGCTATGACCAGAATAGGCAGATCAAGCTTGAGACTAGGGGGTATCTAATGATACCCAAAAAATATCACCACTAGATAGCAGTGATCTAGTCAAGTAATTAGAGCATCACCCCAAAGAGGATCAACATCACAAACTCGAGACTGTTAAATGAATTGATCTCCTATATGCATGAGCTAACCTCAATGGGATAGCTCGCCCTATAGTACACTTAATGGATGATAGACTCTGCCGGTGGCGTACAAGATCGTTATATGTCTAGGCTGGAAGACATGTTATATTGCCACTACAACACGTTCTAGAAGGACACATCACTCCTAGAGAATGTAGTTTTTAACAGCCTAAGGAATATAGACTCAAATGAACCAAATATTCCCTCTACAAAATCCTAACAAACTAGGGACCATTGGATGGTGACAACATCATCTCTTATAAGTACCAAGGCCCTTACTCATGGAAGGGCATAAGGAAAATACTGTAATCGACTCTTTTTATCCAAGTAATACATAATTTTTCTAGGAGAGAGAGACTCCATTAAAATGGATTAGCCAAGCTTCATAGCTGGTAAACCACTATAATTCTTGTGTTCTCATTCANAAACAAAAAATACCCTAATTCTGGGGGAATTTGAGGTAAGTGAAAAGTGAAATTTTCAATTGAAAGATGATCTAGGCACCAATGACCCAGCAAGAAAACCCTAGCCATACTTTAAGGATCTAGAGAAAAAACAAAGGAATTGATAAAGTGAAAGGTTTGATTTGGGGAAAAGTTTAAATAGAGGAAGTTTTGTCCATTTTCTCTATCTGAATGCATTTAATGTGCCTACACATCACTCTACGTGGCATTTTGTTATTGGCACACTTCAAAAAATGAGGCGTTATCTACTCCCCATGATTATGCAACACCTTAATCCTTACACGACTGCCCTGTCATGTCCTGTAAGCAAATTCAAATGTCCAAAGCTACTCTCAAATTGAGGTAATACCTCAACCTTACTTGGAGCATAGTCCCAAGCTATGACCAGAATAGGCAGATCAAGCTTGAGACTAGGGGGTATCTAATGATACCCAAAAAATATCACCACTAGATAGCAGTGATCTAGTCAAGTAATTGGAGCATCACCCCAAAGAGGATCAACATCACAAACTCGAGACTGTTAACTGAATTGATCTCCTATATGCATGAGCTAACCTCAATGGGATAGCTCGCCCTATAGTACACTTAATGGATGATAGACTCTGCCGGTGGCGTACAAGATCGTTATATGTCTAGGCTGGAAGACATGTTATATTGCCACTACAACACGTTCTAGAAGGACACATCACTCCTAGAGAATGTAGTTTTTAACAGCCTAAGGAATATAGACTCAAATGAACCAAATATTCCCTCTACAAAATCCTAACAAACTAGGGACCATTGGATGGTGACAACATCATCTCTTATAAGTACCAAGGCCCTTACTCATGGAAGGGCATAAGGAAAATACTGTAATCGACTCTTTTTATCCAAGTAATACATAATTTTTCTAGGAGAGAGAGACTCCATTAAAATGGATTAGCCAAGCTTCACAGCTAGTAAACCACTATAATTCTTGTGTTCTCATTCATTCTCTAGCTCGATCCCTTTCTTTATTTTTATTGTAGCACTTGCTAGAGCTACTAAGATCCATATCAATTTAATCACCTTCCTTCACACGCTCACTGAACCAGCATCACCAAGTGTTGAAATCTTCAGTTCAAGCATCCGGCTCACATTTTGAATCCCAACATCATTAACTTTGATTATCCATTTTAGACATAGAAGTGAAGCGATCAAGTGAATATGCATGATAAGGATGAGATTCTTGCATGAAGGAGATGAGGAATCTCTGAAGAAAAATTTATTATGAGATACAAAAAATTGCAAATAATAGAGTTGATTGGGATAAATAGCTTACCTATTTGAGGGTCAACCTTGTGAAGGGTATCAACAATCATGGAAATTCCTATGATTACTTTGGTTGAAGAGGGGTACCAATTGATATGCCAAAACCTAACATCTCCATCTAAGATTGGTTGAAGCCATTCAAAGTCTAGTTGGGATAGTAGATAATGATTAACACATGTATGATGTTAGAAAATTGCTCATTTATAATTTGCTAATTCTGTGATTCATATTGCAAACCTTAACTTCAATCCATGGTCATGATGTTTCAAGTTCAAGATTTGAAAGCTACATGAAGAAAGGATTTCAAGCTTCAAGATACATCATGAAGATCTCCCTCGATTCTTTTGGATCATTAGGTTATAATTGAAATGGATTGAGGATAATCTGTGAATGAATCATAGGTTTTTCATGAACATACTTTTGACACATCAAAATTTATTTTGAAAGCATAGATTGAGCCACATATCGGATCCTTATTGAGTAGCACTCTTTAGTATTTAATGGGACAAGTTTTTGCTTGATTTTTGGCTTAAAAATCAGTAGGAACCGCTCTCTACTCTCTTGCCTTATGTTAGAGCAATCTCTGAACACCTAGAGAAAAATCGTAGGAGGCTAAAGTAGTTGGCTATAGAGATGGTTCGATTGGCTACTCAAGCTGTCCCTGCTCAACTCGACTAGTTGATTCGTTGCTTCATTCCAATGATGTACGCTTTTTGACCACTCTATGATATGCATATCTCTGTTATACAATGTTTCTTAACTTGTTATGATTGTGTGCTTCTCACTTTGTGACAAAAAAGGGGAGAATTTTTGGTAATTGGAAAAAATTCTTTTGAATAGCTAGGGATTAGTTATATAGGAATAAAGGGGGAGTGTAAGACCCCCATAAAATTTAAATATGGATAACATGAAATTAATAGTACTTCTAAAATAATAGAAACCGTGAATCATTGTTGAAAGATTGATCATGAAGTTTGAGTTTCACGCGAATTGACTTTTGAGTCAAATTTAGTTTTGGAGACGAGTAGGATTGAGAGTTGTTAGACAACTTTAGAGTTGTTTTTAGGTTAAAGTAAGAGTTCCATTGAATTTGGAAGGTTGAAAAACCTTGGGAGAGTTTATATGGGGTGTATTAGAAGTTTGGAAGCATTTCGGAGTAAAAACCTATTTGGGAGAGGATTTGGGTAGAAAGGAATTTGACACTACCTTAGTTTTTTGGCTATAAATTTTTACCTCGATGTTTTTTTGACCTAAAATTTTTACTATATAAATTAGACTTCTGGATCTACAAAAAATTATTTTATGAATATTTCATGAATCGGCTTCTAACTAGGTCAAAACCTTGCTAGAAGTCAGAGACAGTGAGTCACCTCCGTCGAAATGGTGAAGTGTCATTCAAACACCAAGCTTGGTTGGAGATTTCCAGAGAGAATTCACCATTTGAACGCACACCAGCTATTTGAACTTATACCATCGAAATGCACACTAGTCATTCGAACGCACTCTAGCCGATTTTGGTCCTACAAATACCCTATGGACGGGTTTTAGGCTATTTTAATCATTATTTGAACCCTAGAAAGCTAACGGGAGTTGGGTGGAAGAAAGAGGGAGATCTTTTGATGGATTAATGTGGAGAATCACATCAAACACATGTTAGGATCAAAGTCTTCAGGAA